TGGACTATAGCCCTAGTATGGTAAACATTTTATTAAAAAATGGATTAAAAGATGTCAGAGCACTTGGAGTCAAAGAATAAGAAAAGAGGAAGTAGATGTATGAGATGGAGCAAACAAGAAAGCAATCAGCTTTGATCTTCAGGGCTAAGTGATGGTTTCAGCACACAAGGAGCCCAATTATCAGAGCAGTGGTATCTCTGTGGTCAAGTGAGAAATACAAGACAACTGTCAGCTCTGAAAATGAAAAATTGTATCGAAGCTTCCCAGAAATGCAAGTGTGCAGTAATTTCCCTGTGCTTTAAAACTTTGATCTGTTGTTGTCTATTTGTCCACATACACTGCTGTTCTTCTGGTGAGAGGTCCCTTCCAATCTCTAACATTCTGTGAATGCAGGATGACTAAAAACTGAGTGATAAGCTGTGTACGAGTCTGCTTGTGTGCGGAAGGAGGTGACCAACAGAAAAGAAATGTTAGTCATGTCATTTGTAATAAAGATCAGAAATCCCAGGGGTGGGAACGACACCCTCTTAAAGATCAGGTTTTAGAGTAATTCTATATATTTATAAGTTATTTTGTGCTTACATAAAACCCATGGTTTGCTTGCTCACCCTTCTAAAGCTGCAGGCTAAAGGATCTCTAATCTATTTATTTAGAACAGCAGTGCTAATTCATGTATAATGTGGTGTAGAAATATTATCTCTTCTGGAGGAAGATGATTTGGTGGCAGATAAAGAACTATTCAGTAGTCATTTTAATTGATTTTTCTATTGTGCCATAATTCAGAATGTCACAGAAGGTGCAGTAAAGAAAAAATCTCTAGGCAAAATCCTTACCACCTATAGGCAGTATTGGAAAAGAATGCAAGAGATTATTCATTCTCTACCATTTCAGTTGATATTCTTTTGTTTAGAATCGATGCCTGATGCTGTCAGTGAATTTGACTTACGGAATTGTAAAGCAAGTTATTAGAAACTGCAGGATGCTGAATAATCTTCTCACAGCGGATGTACGTTTTGTCACAGCAAAGTCACTTCGCTTCCCTAGCAGGTTGTTTGGCTTTTAAGGTCCTTCAGCTTTTCATGCCATCTTCTGTTGACACAGGAAAGGTTTTGTTTGGAGAAGTGCAGCCTATGGCTTAGGATGTTATTTACTGAAATTGAGGACACCAGTCGGGGTGCTTGGGTGATGTTATGGCCACACAGGAGAATCTTTGGAGTTGCAGGGGCCCCTGCAGCACCCAGGTGGCATGAATCAGTTGTGTCCCTGCCCTAAGTGAATGGTAAAACCCAGCCTAATTACATATGCAGATAACTACAGCAAAAACAGCCTCCTCCTGCCTGCACCTTTGTTCTGAAAGAGCAGGTGTTTCACGCATGCCTGTGTGATGGAAAGCAGAGCCTTGTGTGATAACCAAGTCCCTTTTGAATAAGTAGACTTGGATGCCAGAATGAGCTTGGCTGCCTTGGGACATTTTTTTTGCTGTGCTAACACGTCCTCTCACCAGAGCCAGTTAGTCAGCGCTCCAGCAGGTACTCTGCTTTTGGTACCCGCGCTTGCTCACTGGGAAGGCTTGGGCATGGTCTGAATCAATTTCCCTGCAGACTTTCTCCAGGAGTTTTACTTGGCTTGTTTGTAAATGGTTATGCTGTAAACACCAGCTTGTACAAATCAGTAGAGCTCCTGACTATGTAAACTAAGTGGTCTGCTGTTACTTAGCTTTCAGACTTGCTGATGGGCAGGAATTTTCTGTATCACAGACACAGAGTGCTGGGGAGCATGGAGATGAGCTCCATCCTCTAAACCGGAACAAAACACAAAAGGCCTACAAAAAGGGGCATCTAAAGTGGGTCAGTCTTAAATTTGTGGGAACTGTAGAAACACCGATTCTGTCCGCTTTCCTCCAATACCTTCCATGCCTCCGTCCCTTCAGGTCACAAGTTGTCATTGCTGGCAATGCTGTACAGACCTTTTTCTACTGAGGTATGCAGTGATAACTAACAGGATACATGTTTTTGCTATCCCTAAGGCATGCAGCATGAGGTGTAAACTTACAGCAGTATTTTAACCTCAGCAGCCATGTGCCTCTTCCCCCCTTACAATAGCCCCCCCACTTACCTCATTTTTCCTAGCTGCTGTGGAAGCAACAGCCCCTGACTTTGGGTGGTGTTTGGGTGCAGGTAGAAGATGTCTCGTGGTTAAGGCAACCTTTGTTGTAGGAACATTGTGCCCTATTTCTTGCAGCAAGCCTGAAGGGTTTGTCCTCCAAGCCAAATCTGAGACACAGGCCACCAACAGCAGTACATTGCAGTTTTTCCTGTAAATGGATTCAGTGCAAAGTCTGAGAGCATTGTACCAAACTGTTGACACCATTGATTATATCCTTTTTTTGTACATTGCTTCTACACTTCAGGTCACTCTTAATTATTTCAACTGAAAGTGAAAACAATTTAAAGCAAATGAGCACATCAGTAGCTCCTCCCTTCTGCCATCGTGGCAGAGCATGAGCATGTATCAAATTGAGCAAGGCCAGCAAGCTGCCTGCCAGGAAAGCTTTTTCCAATTATCAAATAAATCCTTCTTACAGAAAGCACTGAATGTTTAAGATTGCATCCCATCAATGGTAATAAAAAAAAGAAAGCAAGCCTGGCAACCTGAACAAATAAATGAATAGTTGTAAGATTCTGATGAAGGTTCCAGCCTCTACACGGATTATGAAGATGAATCACTTGTTTTTGTCAGTTTTCTCATTCTTACTGTATATAATACCCACCAGCTGGTCTGGGTCATAAAACAAATATGAATTTTTATTATGAGCCAACTGACAATGGCAAGGCTATAAGAGTTGAATCTTTTGACCTTCTGAAGGTTGGAATACAGTAACTACAGGTTTAATTGGCAATCCAAAACAAAAGCATTTGCAAAAGTACAGGTGAGTCTTTGGTGTATATGTTCATCTTTGCTGTCCTAATGCTATAGAAGTTTATTCAAGAAGCATATGTATTTATACTTCATATAGTATAAATACCACCATAATTTTATAGGAAGAGAATGTAAAGCAAGAGAATGTAAAGCAAATATATTTGTTTTCCTAGAATATAAGATTAATTTATGCAGTATTCCATAAATTAGTTTTAAATATAGTAAAATTTCATGCCCCAGTTGTATGAATGAGAAGATGGCCAATGGGGACAAAGTTCTGTGTATAAACTCAAAGCAAATTATAGTGGCAGCTGCTCAGAAAAAAACAGGTTGGGCTCTTTGTTACCAGTGGTTCTTGCTCTGAATTGCAGTAACAGCAGAAGGGGCCCATGTCCCAGGACCTTCTGTGGTGCTGCCTTTCTCCCTGTGTCCTGGTGAGCTATCAGCCAGCACGGTGAGAAGCTTATTGGGAAGTTCCTCAGCTCCAGCTTGGGACAAATCACTGTTGGATAATAAGCTGACAAAGAAGTTTGCATGGGACTGAGAGCGGGCAGCGTGGGCCACACATGAATTGAACTAAACCTCTACATCTGAAAATGTACAAAAATTACTCTTAATTAACCTAGTATAAATGTATCCCTGCAGGGACAGACCTGAGTAATTCTTAATATCTTTTAGAGCTTTTAAAAAACATCAGGGAAGTAGGAGTTTGATATCTTTCTGCCATTTGTGTGGCTGGGATCTTGTTTCCAGCCTCAATGCAAAACTTGCTTTTTGTTGTTAGCCAACAGTGTCCCATGTGTGTATATATATATATACACACACACAGATTAACTTTTTTTTGTATTGATAAGGATTTTTATGTATTCATTTCTTTATCAATCTCTGAATGTGATCAAGCATAAGTCCTTGCTCACCATATTTGGGAGCATTATGTTTATCCTTCTGAGCTTGATGATTTTAATAATGAACTTTGGCATATCTGAGTTTTGATAATACATGTATTTTGGGGTAATTTATTGGTCAGGAAGATTCATTTGTTGTGATTGAGGAAAGGTGAATATTTTTAGCTGTATATGTTGTGAAGTTACAGGCTGCCTAAGAATGTGAGTTATACTTCTAGTCTAGGAAAAAGCATGAGACATCTAGAAATCAGAAGATTTTCTCAAGGTAAAATAGAAAGCATTATGAAGCTATTGGTGCTCCGTGAAAATATTCGCTGTAGCATCTCGACTCTCACTGCAACCATACATTTATTTTCAGTCCTTATCCCTCTAGCATTCAGGCATTCATACAGAACTGCCTTGCATGCTGCCGCCTAGTTATAACTCCAGCCATAATGGATTTGCTGTGGCTGCCAGTACAAATAACTGTTTGTGCCAAATGGTGTTAGCATCTGTTTGCCGC